GGGAAGGAGGAAGATTGGCAATAGATGTTAGCTCAGAGCCAGTCTTCCTCAACAAAAAGAGGAGGATTAGCACGGATGTTAGCTCAGGGCTGATCTTCCTCACAAAAAATAAACACAAGTTATAAAAGAGAAATTGAACATTAGTCACTTTTGTAGTAGAATACGTCCAAAACTAATCTATATCTTGGATTATTTTGTAGGTTTCTCATTTCAACTATACAATGTAAATAAGCAGGTAATTATTGTAAGGAAACCTAAGGGTTAAATCCTAATATGCTCACTTGCCACAATATGTGGAGGATTTCACAAGAGTTGCTGTCTTATTCCACTGTAGAATAAAAATCATGTATTAAATATACGATTATTTAAAACATGCCCTACAAATTGAGAGTTCAAAATTGAGTTTTTCCCCTCAGGAATTCTCAGCTTCTTGTGAATGGCTTCTAGGAAATGGAAGCCAGCAGGGGATTATACAGGAAAGCTGAAACAGGTCTGTGAAATGGGGAGGCCCTGCCTGTCATTCCGGTTGTGAGAGAAAGAAAGAGAAGAGATTGTACGCGACTTTATGAGCAAGACCCAACCTCCCCAGCAGCTGTATTTCTGGCCCCTCAATCATCTGCCCACATGCTATTCAGGTTTCTCAGGGCTCCTCACTTCATCCTTAGGCTCCACTTCAGATGTGATTTATCAGTCAGCCTAGAATTTCTCCCATGCTCAGTTATGTGAGTCCAGAGCTGATGAGAAGAATGATGCTAGGAAGGGTTATTTGGGAAACTGTGCAAGGCCAAAGCGATGACAGAGAAGTGATGAAAGACATCCTCCTTGTCAAAGGAAGAAGCTGAAAAACAGCTGCAGAAATGTCTGACCTCCCCCCAGACAATCACGGCCGGGCCTACTGATGGCTCCTGAGTCAGGAAGCCAAGCCCACGTATAGTCATTGTCCTATGCTTAAGAATGCATTGAATATATTTTGGAAATAACTCCTCTAAAAACGTTTTTTTTTTTTCTTGGTGAGGAAGATTAGCCCTGAGCTAACATCTGTTGCCAATCCTCCTCTTTTTGCTGAGGAAGATTGGCCCTAGGCTAACATCTGTGCCCATCTTCCTCTATTTTATATGTGGGATGCCACCACAGCATGGCTTGATAAGTGGTGTGTACGTCCACACCCGGGATCCGAACCTGCAAACCCCGGGCCGCTGAAGCAGAGCACACGAACTTAACTACTACCAGGCCAGCCCGGTTACTCTTCTTTATTTAGTTTTGAATGTTTGAAAAGAGATAAATCACAGTCATCTAGAAAATTCACTTATGTGGGAAAATCTCAATCTGATGATGCTGGAAAAATGAGGCATGATGGTATCAAGTACTTTATCACTCTATACTTCCAGTTATTCAAATACATTCTTCCAGTCATAACTGAGTTAAGGGATTATAGGAGAGAGGGCCAGAGTTTTAAAAAAATAAAGCTAGTGGAATAAAAAAAGTAAAGCTGGTGGAAGTTTCTACAGCTGGGACCCAAGTAAAGGTTCCTGCAAAAAGGCTTGGCAACAAAGAGATGAGTTGAAACAAAGCACTTGTCTGGGGATTTGTGAGCAAAAGGGTGGAGCAGCCTTTGTGGGTTGGAAAAAAAGACAAATAACTTCAGGAGAAATTGCTAGAGAAAAAGGGCAGCTGGATGAGGGTTTAGGGGTCAGATAAATGTTGGGGGTGAAGATAAAATTTATGACTTCTGCTCCGTGATGTTTACTGCGATGTTGACGTGAGCTGTGGAATTCCAAACACATGAGATGCGACTTGAATACAGTCCAGCTGTTAATATCATGCGAAGTAAAATGCAAAAATTTTTAAGTTGGAAATCAACATATTTCAGAGGGATGTGCTTTACCCCTTGGTCGGCGCCTGAGAGAATTGTTCGGAGCCTTGACAAAAATACCTCCAGTCCTGCCTTTCTTTGTGTGACAGCTCATTGAGTGCTATCTTTGTCCCGCATGTCTCAGGTCACATGGCCAGTTTCACAGCCATCCTCAACCAGATTCCCAGCCACTCCTCTTCTATCCGGACCATCCAAGGGCCGCCTGGGGAGCCTGGGAGACCAGGCTCTCCTGGAACCCCTGGTGAACAAGGACCCCCAGGGACCCCAGGCTTCCCAGGAAGTGCAGGTGTGCCAGGGACCCCAGGAGAACGAGGTAAGCTGGGCCACTCTCTCATTAAGTACAAGAAGCAGAATGTTAACGGTGGTGCCTATGCAATGATAAAACCCAAAACAATGGACCTGAATTAATTCTACCCCATCTGTTCTTCAGCTTTTTGTGTATTTATCCCTAAGATTGAGAAAACTGAGTAATCTACAAAGTGTTTATCAAGAGCCACATCTGCTTGTATGAAAAAGGAGGATCAGAACTCCCAACTCACCTCTAAGAAGCTTTTGAGCTAATGAGAGAAAACTGTCCCCTCTAGATGAGTGAATTAAGAAAAGGTGCCCCTTCCAGGTAGAAGAATAATAAAATGATATCCCCCTCTGGACAGATGTAGCATGACACATGTGTCATGGCAAGTAGAGAGCTCACTACCTAGGTCTGGTGCTTTTTTTGTGCAGTCCGCATATTAGGCAACAGTCAGTGGCGGCTCTGAGGTGAGTCATGAGTCATATTAACATGATTCACATATGCCAATATAGACCATGCCAGCTCTAAACTTCAAATTAAATACTGTTTGTGGCTCATCTTCCTATAATATGAGGCAGTGTTTTGTTTAATAGTTTCATGGGCCAATGTTTTGTCTTTCCTACTAAAGTTTCTTTAAAATAGAGATCCTACTTAGCCTTGTCTTCTACCCTTACAGGTCTTAGCAGTACCATACAATACAATAACAAGACTCTTTTGATTGAATTTCACCCACTTCTGTAATTGACCAAGATCTCCCACTCCAGAAGCAGATCAAAGAGATGTGGGAAATTGAGGTTACATATTAACCACAAAGAAAGTGATAAAAAAAGAGACAACTGATAAAAGTATTTTCTAAGACACAATTTTATAGAATGTAGATTTGGGGAAAAGCTATTTCCTATCTCCTCCATGAGTCATGTTACTTTTATGAAATGGATAGGATATATTCCTTTTATCAAATTTGGGATGTAAAATGCAGATTATGAGATAGCATTTCACGTTCATTCTTGATCCATGCCAACAGGCCATGTGCATTTCTGCCTCTGCACTTATGTACACGTTCTTCCTCCTTTGGAAATGTCCTTTCCTTCCCCCGTCTTACGTGTGTCTTACTCTTAGTTCAAGGCTCAGCTTAACCGGTCTCATGCATGAAGTTTTGTTGATTGCCCCAGAGCACAAATGTCTCCACCCGCTGAACCCCTGAGGCACTGAGTGTCTCTCCCACCCCTGTTAACACTCATCAGGTGTTCGTGAACAGCTAGATTGCCAAGAGCACGTGGGTCTGAATTGCTTTGCACATAATAGTTCCTCACTAGGTAATAGTTGTTTTGATTGTGACCCAGTTCTGATTTTCCTTTCTGAAGGTTTTTCCTGAGGCAGGGACCTAAGTCAGCAGACGTAGAGAAGGGCATAAGTCCCTCGCAGCACACCAAAGATCTGGCAGCCAGGAAGGTGGTCCCCTCTGTCAGCAGGGCACCCTCTGCTGGTGTCAGTGATGGATAAACTGCGACTCAGGGAGCACAGAGCCAGCACCTGAGTCACTCTCAGCAGGTCACAAGTTGTCTTTGTTCTTTTTGGAAGTCTTAGCCTTGTTCTTGCCAGACTGAGTCTTTCCTGCTCTGCAAGAGCACTTGAATGATTAGAGCAGAGGAAAATCACCAGGGAGTTTGCCAACAGTGGCCTGGACAACTCTTGAAATATGAATTTCTCTGATATAATTTTCTTATGTACATCAAATAGATGTATATATTCTTAAGGAGTATAGTAGACAAGCAAAATCCTGTATTTCACAGATACATGGAAGATGACAGTAAGACAAAAAGTGAAAAATGCCCTTTGAGCATGGGGGAAGGTGATTTTAGCTGATCACTCATTGAAGGATGTGGTTTTGGCGTTAAAATTGGGTTTATAGGCCAACACTCAAGGGAGTTTCCATTCCCGATAAAATATTTCCTTTGCAGTTGAGATTCGTTGCTGTAAGGTGGACCTTGATGTTTTGAACTTAGCCTTGTGGTCCAAATACCCAGGAAAGATTAAGAGAGAAAAATATCCGCCTTTCCACTAAATCAAAACAATAGAATTTTAAAACTGAAGAATCTTCAGCCGTCTTTTCTCCTGACTCTCTCATTTTATGTAAAAGGAAGCATATGAAGATATCGAGTCCCAAAGAAGCTTCAAGTCAGCCAGCCTCAGAACTAGAAATAAAAACCAGAGATCATGGGTTTTTTTTTTTTCTGTATAAAATGTGATTATCACTATGCTCTATAATATAATTTTAAAAGGACACTATATTGTAATGAGTAAAAATAAGTATTATTACTAAGCAGTTTATTTAGACAAATAATAAACTACAGAAGCAAGATTAAAAGAAATAGATCTGTTGAGTACTCTGGCCTAGCACTTAAGTGAACCTCACTTTCTGCTGAGGCTTCTGCATGAGTCTCACATGAGTCTTCCTCCAAAAATTCATGACTCATTGACTTCGGCTAATTTTTCATCAGAAGTCTTCCATCTGATTTCTCTATTATAATTTTTCAAACTTTTTAAAACATGATGCACAGGAAGAAATACATTTTACATCATGATGCAGTATGCACATGCATGTGGATGCATACAAACTTATATAACTGAGGCAAAAATATAATAATACCTACTCTTAGTATTGTTCCCTGTTTTCTTCTTTTCTAAAGGCTGAGAGGCAACCTTGGATTTCATGACCTCAGTTTGAACTACTGTTCTAGTACAAGATCTTTGATTAACCCCATCATTATCACTGAAATAGCCAAAGAATATGCATTTTTAGAGCACAAATATTCCCTCCATATTAACAAACTGAAGTAGATGACTATTCATGACTTCTGTTATTACCTAACAGAAGACTCTATTTTTGTTCCATCTGATTGTCTACCTCTCTCTCATTAACACTTTGTCTCCTTTAACTTGAAGTATTTATCACAAGTTTGTGAAGACTGATTAGAAGAGTGTTTTAGCGATCTTCTCACATAGATTGTAATATTCAGAGAATGCTTAGAATTTAAGGATTCAGAGAGATCCTGCAGCTCATGTGGTTCATCTAAACTTTGAGCTCCAACTTAGATTTGTCTAATTATTGGCATCCAGAATTGAAGAGGTTCCATTTACATGACATAAGCAAAAAATGGATGCAGCCCAATTTCTCACCTGCTTTTTCTTGTCACTTATATTACACTGTTAATTTATGTCAAAGAAAAGCTGTTCCTCTATGGGCTATGATGTTGTTGCCTCTCCCCATTAAACCCTACATTGTCTTCAGGTCTTCCAAAATTCAGAAAAGGGGTCAGATCAGCTCTAAGTTTCCTCTTTTGTTCTCTGAACTGTGACAATTGAATCCTGACTATTCTGACCTTAATTCACTCTCCAATCACAACCTTGTGTGACTCTAACTAGACTTTTTGATAAGAGCTGCATTTCTAATTCTGATTTCTGCGTATCATTCGCAGATGACTAATCTGTTTGTTTTCTTATTCCATTTATTTAAATGTTCATTATTCACACTGGTATTAAATCATATATGAACCCAGTCAACAATAAGTTTACTGTCTACAGTTCACAAAATTAAGTTTATTTACTTGAGAAGAATGGGGAAATTTTCCTGATTTCAGTCTTTATACAACTCCTTCAGTTTCCATGATTCTCCAAAAAATATTGGATCAGAGGAACCATCCAACTAAAGATTTTGTTATTTTTCATTGTATATCCATAACAGCTGGAATTGATATCTGGTTTATTTTTTATAATAAATCAGCAAATATTTATTGAATGCAGGGGTTATGTAAGGCTTTTGGCATGGCAGTGTGTGAGATAAACTATTATTTATGGCTTTTACTTATTAGGCACCAAATGCATCTGCCAATATTATGCTCAGTGCTCTATTCAGACTCTCATTTGGATAAAATAGAAGACCTGGTGTGGATAAGGAAGGAATATAAACATTACTGAAGGTACAAGTTGGGACATGGTAACTGCTAAGTGAGTCATGTAGGAAGTAAATGCTGTCAGAATGTAGAGGAAGACATCACTGTGGCCTTTCAGAAGAAAGAGTGCTAGAATTTATTAAGCAACTACTTAGTAAACTATCAGATGCTTAGCACATTATTAGTGCTCATAAAAGTCTTATGAGATCAGTATTAGCCCCATTTTTAGGTGAGGAAACTGAGGTTCAGCTAGATTGTCAATTGTCCAAGGTCACGCCACTGAACAATAGGGGACTAGAATTCAAATTCAGGTCTGTGCTTGCTCCACTCTGCTCAGTTCCACCTTTGACCCCATTGCTCAGTGGGGGTTTCACAGAGGAGAGGCCAGAACTGTGCAGGGTCTGGTGAACCCGGTTTCATGATGGCTCCTAATAACCACTATTCAGAACATGGGAACTGCTAGCCTGACCAGAATGTCTGAGTGGGTTGTGGTTTTACTGTTTGCAAGCTCCCTGTGCACCCCGTTCTGCTGTATTTGGATAGCCTTGTGGCATCCATGACCTGTTGGGTAAATATGAACACGATAAAACCATTTTCCATGACTATACATTTTGGCACTTGACAATTCTTCTAGGATTTAGCTTGTGCCCAGGCTATGTAAGAGTCCAAATAGGGGAATTACCTATAGGAAAGTGGTCATGGATCTGGCAATTTGGGGTGCACTGTAGAAGTTATACTTCTATTATAATATCTCACCCTGGAGGCAGATTGGGGAGAAACCTGGAACAAGGCAATTTGATCTTGTTTTACTTCTGATATTCTAGAAGAGAAACTGTTTCACCATCACCTTGTGATATTGCCTTAGCTGGAAGAAGCATGACTGGATGGAAGAATGTGGTTTGGAGCATCAGTCATCTATGGGTTAGGATCCTAGCTTTGTCACTTACCAGCTATGTAATCTTGACAGCTTAATCTTACAACTTAATCTTTCTGAATCTTCATTCATTCACCTAACCCGCACTTGCTGAGCATTCACTACACATCAGGCATGGTGCTGGGCATGGACGA